CAGAAAGGGGATTGATTAAGCTTTACACGATCAGGTTGTTCATCACCTTCAATTTATTTCAGAATTAGCATATGATTCTCCCAACACCATGGTCTGCCTTTTAATATTTTTTTTCTCTATCTTTCCAATGAAAAAGCTGAAAAGCAAATAAATTAGGGCTAAGGACCCCAATCAGTAAATTATTCGAGAGGTTACATACCTTCAGTATCGTTCGCTTAAAAGCCTCAACATTATACGGACGATTGGTACACAGACTCCCCACCAGCAACAAATTAATGTTATCATTCGAATGCTCCCCATGGATGTTACTCAAGACCTATCAGATCCCCTTCTTCCTCCTCCAACCTTAGCGCTGAGTATTGTTGAGCCAACTCATCAGCCATAATGCCGGAGTCCGGCCGTTCGTGACGGAGAATGTCGTTCGTGACGGAGAGTGTCATTCGAGACGGAGATACGGTCTTTTTTTTCGAGAGAGTTTTGCCCTATCTTTCGAGGGAGTATCTTAGGAACTTATCAATCTCAAATAAATTATTCATTAGAAAAATATAATAAAAAAGGTCATTATAAAATTGAAAATATACAATGAGAATTAAGCTACTTTAACAAGATGTCACATCGTTTCATATTATACTTATGCAATTATGCAAATGAATTTGAGTATTTGACTATTTATTTTTTATTTTTTTTTCATGTACATAATAATTCATTTACACAGTAGCAATATCCGAGATACAAAGTTCTCATCCACATATATACCCACACATATTAAATACGTATTGAGTTCATTCTTTGAGGGTTTTTTTTTTTATTTTTATTTTTATTTGTTAATTAATTAATTAATTAATTAATTATTATTAAACTAAACATGTGTTTTTTTTATAAATATAATTTTTTTTACATATTAATAACACGGTTGAAAATTGACTTAAATGGGTAGATAGTTATTTTTTTCATAAGAGGTTGAAAGTTCAAAATTCAAAATTTCTTATTTTTAGGTAAGTTTTGTATGTGACTAACCACACGGTGTGGTCACATTGATTTATAAAAATAATATTTAATTATATATATGAGTAACCCCATTTTTTTTTATAAGAGTAACCTCATTTTGTCCAATAAAGTAACTCCAATTCATTATATGAGTTATATCAATTAGTCTAGAAACAAGTAACCCATTTGTTCATTCAAGTAACTTTTTTTTTTTTTGGGAAATTCCATTGGTACCACCCTGGTTTTTACTTTTCCCATTGATACACTCCTAAATTTTTGCCTTCCCATCGATACACCCATGGTTTGGTCTTTTTCCCATCCGTGACTAACATCGTTAAAAATTATTTCATTAAGTTTAAAACAATTAATGAAAAGACTATAATACCCCTTTTAAACATCTAATGTCTCAATTTGCGTGTCAAAAATTGCCCGATTAAAGTTTTGGGAGTCATGTTAGTCCTTAAGGATCCAAATTAACCACGAAATTAGCAAAAAAAAATAACGCAAATGTCTCATATGCGTGTCAAGAAATATTTCGGTTTGCGTGCCGTTACTTTTTTGTGATAATAATTGTTCGGTTAAGGTTTTAGGGGTTATTTTGACTCTTTATGGATCAAAGTCGAACTCAAAATAGTAAAAAAAAAATTAACGAAAATGTCTCATTTTGCGTGTCATGACAAAAAAAATTAAGAAATATCATGACGTGCAAACTGAGATATTTTTGTTTAAATTGGACAATTTTGTGCCATAAAGGGCCTAAATGACCCCAAAAAACCTTTATCGAACAATTTTTATGACGAAATAAATAGCATCACGCAAACCGAGACTTTTTGACACGCATATGAGACATTTGCGTTATTTTTTGCTAATTTTGAGGTTAATTTGGATCCTTAAGAACTAACATGACTCCCAAAACTTTAATCGAATAATTTTCAACACGCAAATCGAGACATTAGATGTTTGAAAGGGGTATTATAGTCTTTTCTTTAATTATTTTAACTTAATGAAATAGTTTTTAACGGTGCTAGTCACGGTTGGGAAAAAGACCAAACCACGGGTGTACCAATGGGAAGACAAAAATTTAGGAATGTATCAATGGGAAAAGTCAAAACTAGGGTAGTGCCAATGGGAATTTCCTTTTTTTTTTTTTTTTTTTTTTTTTTTGCACATATTCTCGGCTGCAAGTTTAATGGTAGTTGAATGTCAATTATATATTAGGCCTTAAACTTTAATGTCAGTTTAATGTCAGTTGAATGTCAATTAACTTAGAATAACTATAGGCGCATATCACCTATATGTTAGCAAACATATAGGATGACATTCTTGAAATTAACTTGAAGTTTGTCACATGAAGTGGGCCAAGGTGGAAGGAATAAAAAGTACCACTACGTACATAATAATACACAAAAAGTACTATTAAGACAATTTATACTTAATGGTACATTATATATGCATAATAGTATACATGAATGTACCACTGTAGCATAATAGTACACATGAATGTACCACTATAGAAAAACATCAAACGAAAAAAAAAATTAAAAACCCCAAAACGACCTTCTATATACATGCTAAATAAATAGGTAATATGCGCCTATATGCACTCATTAACTTAGTGATTGTTACAGTAACTGGGATATGATACCCAATTGGCTAAGACATGAGATCAAATTCCGTTAAGATCATTTGATCTTTTACCGCAGAAATTCAATACTATATACAAGTACCATTGTCTATCATTTGCTAGAAGTTATTATTTGTTGAACAGTATTTCTCCTTGCTTTTAGATTTTGTTAAAAACAAATAAAGGAGAATTTACAAGAAAGAAGAGAAAAAGAATGAGAGGAATGAAAGGGGAGAAAAAGAAGGAGAATACTCAGAGTAGTAGGAAAATAAAAAATGAGCCTGTCTCGGGTAATCAATTAGATAAACGTTCTAAGTTTATCAAATGCCTTGATTGTAAATATGTTAAACAGTAACCGGTGACATGGCTACGATCTGGATGCAATGTCTACCTGTTCGAACTCGAGCTGACTCAGTTGCTTGGGCCTGGTGACGTTGGTAGACAGTGTATAACTCTGTTAATAAGAAATTTGAACACGGCGTAACAGACATTACAGTTGGGAGGAATTCATTTATGGTGGTGCCGCCATACAGTTGTTTAAATTAGGCTATAATGTTGAAGGATGAACTTTGAAGAACGGGTGGTAGGAACATAAAAGTTTCCGTCGATCAGGTAAGGTCTCAACTAACTTTTCTTTGTCTTTGATATTGCTTGAGTTAGGGTAATTCTCTGTTTTTCATTGGTCAAGATTTGGGGCTCCCATTTATGACACATACGCGGTCTCCACCAGTTAAAAACATTATATTTGGCCATTATGAGAAACAAACGTGTTTCTCGTAACGAGGAAATGGGGCTCCCTCCTTGAGTTAACCAATTGACATGTAAGGATTTTTATTGTTGTTGAAACTCTGATTTGTTAGCTTTGATTAAGTAGGATTGTAATGAAACGAGATAGTACTATATGAATGGTGAATTATTTATAATTTTCTTTTTTATTATCATGTAAATTACTTCTTATATACTTCGTATCTTCTGTAGTTGTGCCATGTAGTTGACTGTGAATGATTAAGGCTGGATTGTTGATTTTTCGTGAACATGTATGTATGTGGTAAGTTTTGCTTTATGTGAGTTGATGATTTCGTTTTACATAGGGGTGGTTTTTAGAGGAATTAAGAGAGATGTGAGTAAATAATGATGGTCATCGTTGATGATTTTGTTTGCAGGATTGAATTGTTTCGAACCTACCCACTTTGGATGGAGCAAGATACTGAAATCCCTATTGCTAATAGAGGCAGTGAAGTTGGTCTAAATGACCGAGGTAGCAGAGTATTGTAAGGTAGTAGGTCTCAACAAACAGAGGAGTTGGAAGAAATTGTATTTGAGGAAAGGGTTTGAAGCTGTTGTCCCAGTTATTGATGGGCTACAAACCCCGTGTAATTGAGGAGCAAATGACACAGGGGACAATATATATCCCCTATTCAAACAATCGAGACTTTGGAAACAGTTGTGGCTAGTAATCACATCAGTGTTGAACAGTTTGTGGACGAGCCAAAAGTGAAATGGTGTTTAAGAACTGGGAAGATCTAGAAGAGTATTACAAAGACTATGCGGAACAACAAGGCTTTGGTGTGAGTAGAGTCCAAGGCGTGTTTTCAAAGGGGGATATATGTGTTAGGATCGCAATAACATGGAGATGTGAGTGTTGGGGGAAACCCCATATGAGGGCCATTAGGGAAGCAAAGAAAAGGGCTAAGGTGATGGGTTTCTCTGAAACTGGAGGAGTTGTTGGGGGAAAAGTATATGATGATGAGTTAAATCGTAGGAAGAGAAAGTCTAAAAAATGTGATTGCTCCGCAATCCTGTATGGGAGTTTAAATCGTGAGAAGGAGTGGGTGGTGAGGAAAGTAGTTCTTGAACATGCTAACCATACGCCTCTCCCTAGTCAGTCAAAGCTTGTAAAGGAGTATAGGATGAAACATTTTACTTCTAGGGTGAGGAAGAGGCTGTTGAATTACTACGAAGAGGGAGTACCCGTGGCTTAACAGAATTTAACTTGTTTTTCTTAATTTTAATTTTTTTTTTGCTGAATTTTATTTATTTTTGTTAAACATAAATCATTTTTATAGAATATCATTTGAATTAGGTAAAATAGAGTATACAACTTATTCTTAGGTCTCAACCATCATATTATCAAGAGTGTACATCAATATGACAAACAAGTCACAGATTCAAATCTCACATCTACCTTTATCTCTTCTTCTAGTGTAGAATATTAAGCATGAATAGGGCCCATGCTGCATCCACATAAAATGTGATAAAGTATAAATATGCGTATCATAATGTAAAAATATATACACGCGAGCCGTGAATTGAACATAATAAATGTTAGCTCCTACAACAATAATGTAAGCGCATACAAAATTCTATACGAAGTAATTGTAAGCTTAAATAATTACGTAGTAGATAAGAGCGGTATCATTATAAATTAAGATAAGCCAATTGCAACTGATTATTTATATTAATACGTGTAGAATGTAAAGCTACAAAAAGCTAAAGCTTAAGATGGATTGTGACTGACACACATTAGTGAGTTTTGACTATTATACATGATTACTTATATTTGATACATTTGTAGTGGTTTTTGACCATGGATAACACCTCTTGCAAAACTTTATTATTGATTGCTTCTTTGGCCAACTAATCTTCTTCCACATGTATCGCACAACATGTCCAACGAGCACAAATCCCAGTAACCCTAGCCATGCTAAGAGACAGATATTTATAATTATAGCAGCCCAAATTCCGCCGTAAGTAAAATTAGATACCGAGAACAAGTAAGTAGACGCTGTTGTCGAGACAGAAATCCACAAGGTTATCCTTAAAAATGTCAAGAAATATCGCTTGAATGGAAGGCCGCTGATAAGGAGAAGGACGACACTTAGTGATGATATTAGTCCTATTGTGTTACTAATTAGTGCCAAACTAAAAGCAGTATCATAAGTATCTGACCATATAGCAGTTCCTGCAACATGGCCAGTATCATCCTGCCAAACGCCTCCTGGGGGATTGATTCCGGCTTGGAAGGCCATGGTTGCGATCAAGGATGCCACCACCATAAGGGATGTCCGCTGGTCCTCCAACCAAGCACGGTCTTTCTTGGGTTTTAGTGCTTCCTTTGCGGGTAATGCATTGGCGCGATTGAGGTGTTGCCATAGCTGTTCATCTTGTATCCCATCCTTCCGACTTCGCTTATGAATATCCACAGCTGACAATCCTTTTTTGCTTATAGCATTTTTTTTTTATCTTTGGATGTTTAAGTAAAAATTCTACCATCTGCATATCAAATTGATAAGCTTTAAATTGTATCAATTCATAACATTTTACTAGGTGTGTTAGGTCCAAAGTCCAAATGGGTTTCATATTAATCCATAACATTTTACTTTCCAACTACTTTGCATGGCCATTTTTATTCCTTTTATTTTACCCTAGGTGCACATGTGATATGATGTACAAATTAAAATACACCTTGGAAACAATATTGAAAGTTGCGGGAAGTTATAGTTAATAAAAAAATGAGTCAATTTTTGGGTCAGACTTTGACTATAAATTATTGTTAATCTATATGAGATAATATAGTCATGTATGATCTTGTTAGATTGAGCTCATGAGTTGCATATTTCATTAATATCACATTTTTATAATTTTTATATGGATGAAAATGGAGATATATATATGCGTTCTAAAATGTATCTTGGAGCTGTGAAGGATAAAATGGGAAAATATAGGGATAGAAAGAGTAAGTAATACAAGTACTTCAATTCATACTTTGTTTGTATAAGAAGAAGAAAAAAAAAAAAAAAACTATAAGTTATATATTAGTAAAATAGCTAATGGTACATTTTCAGCTTACCTCGGATTGCTTGGCAGCCACAGCTAGGTGCAAGACGGTATTACCAACGGCATCATCGAAGTTAAGCAACTCGCCATCATCCATCGTTTTTACCAAAAAACTCAAAGCCTTTGGTTGTTTATGTTTCACACACAAATGCAAAACAGTGTCACCACCAATAGTTCGCTCCCAAGCCGCTTGTGGCTCAACCTTGAGAAGAGTTGTAAGCACTTCAATTTGACCATTTATGGCAGCTACATGAACAGGCGTCTTACCATCTTGGTCATGTGTGTAGCAAATGCTCGGATTCACCGTAAGCAAGATTTCGACGATTTGCAAGTTCCCTTTGGCAGATGCAATGTGTAGGGGTGATGATCTTTTTATTTGATCAACCAACTCTACTAGTTCTGGCTTTTGCTTTATTATTTCCTCGGTAAAGTTTACATGCCCAAAATTAGCCGCTAAATGTAATGGTGACTGCATAAAGCTTCCCGATTTTCCAATGATGCATCGATCGAGGATAAGTGGATCTTCACCGAGCAAGTGGAGCAATGAAGGTACGTCTCCCTTGAGTGCTGCATCATATAGTCTTGTAATAGCAAGTAACTGACCTCTTTCTATATGTGCTTCCATATTTTGTGACGTTTAATTTATGGGAAAAAATTCTTGCATTACAAGTTTGTTTGTAATAATTGTGCAAGTCTTCATTTCTTTTATACCAATGAAAGAATGTAAGACCAATCAATAAAGAGGGACATGGACATATTTTTCTAGGAAGCTCACTCCAAAGTCCAAATTAAACAACCTTTTTCTTGCAAGGGTTGACAAGTCAATAGGGGGAATGGGATGTATACTACTACCTCCGTTAATTTTTATTTGCAACTTTGGGGGATTTTGCGGTTCACGACGCAAAACTTAAGGGGCAAATATTAGAGGAAGTAAATGAAGGTAATTAAAGTGATAGGAGAGAGAAAGTTGGCCCCACCCACTTGCAAAATAGGTGGGGAAAATCTGGCAGATTTGGAGGGATTTGATTTCCCCCCCAAATTTTCACCAAAAATTCGATTTGACTGATTTTTTAGTGAAAATTTGGGTTCCCTCCTTAATTTCAAAAAAAAAATTCAGAAGACTTTCAAATTTTTTTAATAAATTGTAGCGTTCATTGACCATTTAAGAGGCATTTACATACAAGCCTCTACCATTCATACACATTCAACAGTTTTAGTCTTAGAGTTTCCACAAAAGAATACAAATCTATTCATCCAAAAGTTAGCACTAATTAGTAATTACACATTGTCAGCCCATTAAATACCCAAAAAAAATCCCTAATCTGAAATTAATGCTGCACATTAAGTACCCAAAGAACTTCATAAGCACCTGCATCTCCTTGTTCCTTCACCTCCTCCAAAAAAAAAACAGCAGCCACCCCTACATCATTAAGCTGAAGCTAAAATAAAAACAGCTCAGACAACCATGGCAGAATTGATTGAAGGTATGTATTTCGATGTTGATCAAATTCTAACAGTAGAACAACTGGCAGAATTGTACTACGACCATGCAGAAGATATGCAAGATCTAGGCTTGGATGACTACGAATCTGAAGATGAGAGCATGCAAGACACACAAGGAGAAGAACATGGCCATCAAAACACACAAGCTGAGGTTGGTTCCTCAGAAATGGAACAACCAATTCAACATGGGACTCAACTTACACAAAGAAAGCAGCTCACCATGCAAAAGAAAAGAGAAATTGTGGACTCAATGTTGGTCAAAATGCAGCAAGGGAACTTACCAAGAGGTCACTTGAAGCATTTATCAGTTCAATTTGATGTCCACAAATCAACCATCACAAGAATTTTCTCAGACATAAAAAAAAACAGATGGCACAGGGGAATTTGATTGATGTCAGGACCAAGAAGTATGGCAGAGTAGGTAGAAAGCCAAAGGAATTTTTTTAATGAATTCCTACAATAAGTCCCTTTACATTTAAGGCAGACAGAAAGGAGTTATGCAACAGCATTAAATATCTCTCATGTGACTCTTCACAATTTTAAGAAAAAGGGAAGGCTAAGAACACACACAAGTAGCAACAAGCCAGCACTGACATCAGACCACAAGGTAGCAAGACTCAAATGGATTTTGTCACATATTAATCAAGTTACAGGTAATGAGGACCCCACATTTGTTGATATGAACCATGTCATACACATGGATGAGAAATGGTTCTATTTGAACCCTGACAAGAGGAGGTTTTATCTCCTACCTAGTGAGGAAGATCCATACAGGGCAATACAGTCCAAAAGATTCAAGCTCAAGGCAATGTTTATGGCCTTAATTGGGAAGCCATTGTATGACACAGATGGGGAATTAATCCATGATGGGAAGTATGGCATGTTCCCATTCACTGTCAAACAACTAGCAAAGAAATCCAGTAAAAACAGAGTAGCAGGAACTTGGGAAACAAAGGTAATCCAGAATGTAAACAGAGAAGTAATTAGAGATATGTTGCTGACAAATGTTATACCAGCAATTATCTCAAAGTGGCCTGACAGTCTGGCAAAAAATGTTGTCATCCAATGGGATAATGCAAGGCCTCACCAAGTTCCAAAGGATGCAGAGTTTATGGCAGCAACAACAGCACATGGATTCAACACTGAATTTGTTTTTTAGCCAACACAGTCCCCAGATTTGAATGTGCTTGATTTAGGGTTATTTAGGTCTATTCAATCTTTGCAATATCAGTCTTTTCCTAGTGACATAGATGAGCTAGTTACAAAAGTGAAGGACTCTTATAACACATTCAATCCTCAAGTGAACAAGTACATTTGGCTGACTTTGCAAAAGTGCATGATTGAGATCCTCAAGGCAGAAGGTGGGAACAAGTACAAAATACGTACCCCGCGTGAACAAGAAAAAACTTGAAAATCTTGGCATTCTGCCAAATCAAGTAGAAGTGCAGAAGGAAGTAGTTATGGAGGCTATGGAGTACCTAAACACTATGTTTAGGCCAGTAAATCAAGGGACTGAACAAGGAACAGGAGATATGGAGGTAGATGCAGACTAGGGGACTCATCACAACAATGGAGAAACACATGGACTGCCACACATAACCACTGAGCTATGTTATGGTTTGTTATTTTATTTTTATTTTTATTTTTTGTTTTTTATTCTCTGCAGAAGGAAGTGGTTAGGTGTATTTTGTTGAATACAGTGATCAAACATGTTAGGCAGTCTTATGTATAGTCCTTTTGTACCCACATTTTGAATGGTCCTAGCAATTTTATTTTAAATTAAATTAAGGTAATTGCTTTTAAAATAAATGACAATTATTTCCCTCATTGTACATTTGTACTCCATATCCGTCCTTGTATTTTGGTTCATTTAAAACATTCTTGCTTTGTCATGAAATTAAAATGAATATTATTAAACCTTAGAAATTGTTAAGAGCAAAAGACCAATTATAATTGAGATGGTCCTTTAACAATTACCATCTATATCAAATGGGTTGTACTCTTGTAAAGGAAATTTTAAGGTGTAATTCTATTAGAGATATGAGATATCGGAAAATATATGTGTGATTTATATTTTATATTGATATTATCATGAGAATAATATATTTAATTTTATTAATGTTAAAGATATATGCCTATCGTGACTTATTCTAGTGATGGGTACTTACGAAACACAAATTCTCTAAAAAGGCGGGTGAAACTCTAACTGGCTAATACAAGAGGGGGGTGAATTGTATTTGAGGTGAAATCTAAAAACTTTTTGCGGAATTTAACTAAATGAAATAATGACGAGAGAAGATATAGGCTTTTCTAAATTTCCACTATGTAATCAAACTCTGTACAAGTGAAGATTCAAACCCGTTAACAAGTTCCCCAAATTAGGAACTTGTTCCCAACTCTCACAGAAGACTTCAGCAACGAAGCTTCCTTAACCTCACCTTACAAACTCACAATCCCAACCCCAAAGTACTTGTATACAATCTGTGATTACAAATACCTATTGCACTCAAGAATATATGAAGGAAAATAACTCTCTTTATGTTATTAGATGGCTACTGGAATTTTTATGCTTAAGAGTTATGTTTTTCTGAGATAGTTTGCACGAGTATTTATAGAGAAGGCTTAGTCATTAACCTCCACCATAATCACGTCCACATGTCAACAACCCACTAACAACTTGTGGAGTTATCTTGACAGATTGTGATCATGAAGAGGTTTCCTAGCCTTATCTAATTAAACCACTATCCTAACAACTTGATAACCATTAGCCGTATAAAAGATTTTCTCACAGAAAAACCACTTGCTAACTTTATCAAATATTTTATTTAAAAGATTATCAAAAGTTTGTTTAAAAAGATTTTATTTGAAAAGATAAATTTATTATTTATTAAAACAACTAGATAATTATCTTCGATAATTATCTTTATTAAAACTTTTACAAATTATCTTTTCTTTAAGAAATTATCTTTTAAAACTAACTTTTATTCCAGTAGTCTTTAACATAAGTCATTGAGTTCCTTTCCGACTTTATATTATTGAGTGCTCACAATTAAAACTAGAACGTGAGATTTGCACGAGGCTTTTTAAAGAATGCTACTCCGCATCCAAGTTCCTACTCCGGAACGAACTTTGCTTGAATCCTTTATTCACCAAAGACTCAAAACATTCATTAGTCGAGTTTGTCAATTTGTCCATCAAAACCAAAAGGCTCAACAAATTCCCCCTTTTTGATGATGACAAACATTGACAAACTTAGGTAAATAAAATCATCCAGGCATGCAACAAAAATTTAAAGTAAGGCATGAAAACAAAAAAACAATTAAAGAACTTAGAAAAATATTAAAAAGTATTTTTTTTTTTTTTTTTTTTTTTTTTTTTTTTTTTTTTATTATTATTTTTTTTTTTTTTTTTTTTTTTTTAAAAAAACTGAGCAAAAGAAAAATTAACAAAGACTTTAAAAACTGAACTTAGCAAAAGTTTGTACCTTCGATGTGTGAGTTCCTTGGTAAACACCTTAGCCGCCATGAAGTTTGTCTTTTTCCCCCTTTTGGCATTATCAAAAGATTGAAAAAAAACATTTTGCTATACTCCCACTAGACTACGTAGGGAATAGTGAGCTCAAATAATGCAAGGCAAAAATAAGTTAGGTACTAAATCATCAGCAAACACACACAATCATATGAAAAATACGAGCCAAGTTCCCATAGACGAAAATCAAAAGCAGGAAAGAGTAGCAAAAGTTATGAGTTACAAACTGAAATCCGAATGGAACAAGCAAAAACAAAAGAAGTAAAAGTGACAAGTTTGAAATTGCAATTATGGTGAGTAAGTAGGTTCATCAGCTGGGGTTTTGGGGTCATTGGAAGCTTCCTCCACCTCTTCAAAAGCCACCCTGTTAATCGTCTCCAATATCTCCTGAGTGCTGTGCAGTATGTTCTTCTCAGCAGCATCAACTTTGTTCTCCATCCCAGTAAAACTGGTTGCCTGAGCATCTGCCACAGCCTGCACTTGGCGTTGAAGAGAAGCCAGCTGCTTTGCCATGTCCTCCAGCTTTGTGCACACCATCTTTACCAGCTTCTCCATTTCTGCTTTCACCTGTTGAATATCAAAAACAGAAGCATTTGTTCCAGAGAAGGCAGCAAAGCCTGTAGGCTGTGATGTAGGAAAAGC